GAAAGATGTTCTTAAAACTTTTTAATCTAGATTAATTTAAATTAACCTTTAATACAATTAATGTATTTCATAATTGGACCTTGTTTCTTACAAATTCAGGGAGTATTTACTACTCATAATTTCAGTTCGGCATTGCACTACATGCTCATACGATTTTGAAATTACTTGCCTGATTGCCCCCTAAAATATTATTGTATGCAACTCAGTTGAGTTTTATATCAAGTAATTTATGTTTAAGCATTAGTCTCAGTATGGCAATTTATAGTCAATGCCTCTCTCCACCTAGGTGTACATGTACTTGTGTAAATGGATACTAGTGAATTTAGTGCTAGGGGAAACCCTGTGATGGACCAGCACCTAATCCAAGGAGAGAAGCAATTTTGTACTCTTGGCTAGTCCCTTCATGCTAGAGGACCAAACTACTATGTCAAGTAAGACCATCCTTGAAAAATAATATAACTCAAAGGGCCACATGTACATGAGCTCAGAGTGTCTGTGTCAGAAATGAAATTGTCCAAAATGTGAAGCCTGAATTTAACAATGATTACCCTAAACATTAACCATGCTGATATACCTGTAGGGTAATTTAGAGTGATTTATTTATATGTTTGTGTTGTCTAAACCAGGATCTTTAAGACTGTAAGTTGTTATTGGTCGTAGAGACATGGAAAGTTGATTGATCTGTCAGGAGCAGTAATTGTTGTCAGTTTTGGTCTGCCTATATTTCTCAGTTCAATTTGTGCCACAGAAAGGTCTATTTAGTGTCTATTTAATTTGCTTTGGATTCTTCACAACTAATGGCATCACAGTTAAACTGATCCTGACATAAATCACAGATTTCCATACATGGTAGGAGTCTGGATAAAAGAAATATTATTATATTCCCTTAATGTCATACCAAATGAATTTGTTAAACTACATTTCTCTCTGCTCATCATTGCTTAGTTGAAAAGATATTAAAGTAATAATGCAAATTGAGACAGATTATAGGTCTTAAAATGAATTATCTGTCTAGTTACACTATTCCAGACATGTTGATGAATTAATCTTGCAGATTATCTCCTGCTATTTACCTAAAAATATATTTTAATTGTTTTTAAAATGGACAAAATGCAGACAGACTGATAACATATATTTCATCACTAGAGATAAATTTGGCCAGTGTACACATACAGTAGTTCCAAGCTTATCACCGCCACAGGCTGCACTCTACCATTTTTTTGTGTATGTGTGTGTGTGTCACCTGATTTTGGCTGGGATGTCCTTACTAGCAAATTGCCCATACCCATTTACAGGTATACACCACAGTCTGATATGACAGGGTACTTGCCAAACTCAAATCTGGAGCTCAAAGCCAAAGTTCGACATCCAATTAGAATTATATTTCAAGCTGGAAATACATGTATTTACTTTGAGTCTTTCTCTCAGACAGCAATACTAATTATGCCTTGTTTATGTAAGCTTACAAAAATATCAAGTAAATAATAAAACACAAAAAAGTAGTGATATGAATTACTAGTATTTCTGGCATGTAATAGAGATTTTAAAACTCATATAAGCACTGCAGCCCTTAATGTCAGCAAACTGAGTTTGGGCCGACTGTATCACACTGATTGCACTTAATTTGACCTAATTCAATTTGCTGCTGCAATAATTCATTAATTTAATGTAGCAGAAAGGTTTTACGATTAATTAGACCCACCTGCAAGGTACTCCACCATTTGCGTAACTTGTAGCAAATGAAGACTTTGGTGTCTTGTCGTTGAACTAAAATCAAGGCCATAAATTATTAAGCTTTGTTTACTATTGTCAAATAAATTAACACAGTAAGATGAATCATTTACAAGTTTTACTGAAATCTTCTACACACCAAGATAATATAAGGTCTCAGCCAAAAGGACGCCACCAATTTAACTAAAGATCTACCCAAATGTGCAACAAGTCGAGCAAAACATGCTTACTGGGTCAACAGTCTTTGGATTCAAAATGTCTGAAGGACGTTGCTTCGCCGCTGACGTCGAGACTTTTGCAGCCGAAACAAGCTGTTTAGAACCACCATCAGAGCTTTTAAGACGTTTCTTGGTTTCACTAGTTCTTGGTATTGGTGTCTTACTACCTTGGACAACAGGAGAAGGAGTTTTCTTTCCACGAGAAACTACATAACTACGGTCGCCATGAAGCGATGCAGAAGCCATTTTCTTTTTGACAAGCTTTCCCCAACCGGGGTGGTGTAGAACCAAATGATGGGATATATTCCATGGGTGGGTGGGTGGGAAAGCTCTCTTAAAGAGCAGTACACTTGTACTTGAAAGTAACTATAGGGTTCTAATTTTTGTCTCGGAAAGTACACTTCAACAGCTTCCTCTTTTCTCTTAAATTGTCTTACGAGAAGCGAAAAATAGCGTCAAGCAAAATGTGACCGCGCGAAAACTGAGCCGATAACTGGGGAAAAGAGGGACTGCCTGTAGTCTATTCATATCACGGAACCAGTCAGGGGCCCAGTGAAATTATCAACTAGAAGTTAATGAGTCCACCCAGGTAATTGTCCCTCTTTCACACTAGGCCGAGTTACTGTCTTAACGGCGAACTCCTCTATTAACTATGTCTGGGAGCACGTGTCGCCAGGAAGAGCTCAGACGGGCTATCCACCTCAAGCGAGAAAACAGGCTTTAAGATCATCCAGTCAGTGCTTCAGAGAATGGTTCAAGTATCGATAAGTACATTTTTCTGCCCTTAGCTGTTCTTTAAGTTTTAAAATTTATTGTGGTTGGCAAGGCTTAGTTTCTGGATCATTGAAGTGTAGAGCAAACTTCAAAATGCATCTGAATTATTAAAATCAAGTAACAGATCAGGCGATCAAGTATAGTCTGAAGATGGGAGAGGGTGGAAGTTACCCCCTGTAATGGACTATACGTAGGGCGAGGAACTACGCTGAGTTGGTGTATAGGAAGGAGTGGGAAAACTATCATCTAGGTATCTAGAGGAGCTTTTTATAAGATCATTTCAAGAGAGAAGAAAACGTTGTGGAAAGGTGTTCGCAGGAGTAATTTTCTATCGAGGGGAAATAAGGGTGACTTTTTCTGTCAAAAATAGTATATAAAAGACTAAGGGCTTCGACCTCCTTGTGGAGCCTTCCCTTACAAAACTTTGTTGATCCTCCCCCCCCCCCCCCCCACCCCACCCCTTCGGGCAGCGTACGCGATAAAGCAGGGAAAGTTTATACTACGTCTCTTTAGTACAAACGTACGTCATCGTTTCGTAATCTGAGCGGAAAGTCAGAACATTTCTTGAGGACCAGTGATTTCGACACAGAACCTTCTTGACTGCTTATCATTTACAAAGGAGATCAATTTGGTCCACAGTTTGAACATAGTTGATACAGGGGAATGGTTATACAACTCGACAAAGTTCATTATTGTATGTTTTTGTTCTCTTTTTTGGCCTTGACCGTGCACAAAACGCAATAGCTGTTTACTACTGACCGAGGAACTAACCAATAGACACGTTTTGGTTACGTAACTCATGCATAGTGTATGAACGCAAAACAAAAGATTGTGCACGGTCGTGGACCTTTCAACATAAATCTTGGCATCTTTGCTTGCTCCTTTGATGTTTGCCGGGTTTCATAACCATTCCCCTCTCTAGGGTTTGAAAAGCAACAGCACAAATGAATAGCAAAAAGCCCGGACAAAATAAAAATTGTTTCGAAGGTTTCGATGTTCTACTTGCCACAATTATTATTTTGAGTACCTGATGAGCTAAGGTACCAAGCACACGGAAAACCCTAAGCAGGGTCTGAAACTAAAATAAGTGTCACTTCAAAAGAGACTTGTTAAATCTAGGATTTTTCGTTTACTTTGCAATTACATTGCACAAAAATGTCCGCCATTTCAAAATAAAGAATAAAAACGAAGCACTATGACAATAAATATGCTACTACATGAATCCGGGCAGTTTCACGGAAACACGGAACAGACCTTCACGGTCAGTAGGCTCGATTTCCGCCGCTCTTTCGAGTCCTGAGTTTCCGCCAATCTTAAGCGGCCTTCACACGGCAAACTAAAGTTAGCAAACTCGTGTTTGCAAACTCAAGTTGGTGTGTGTGAACGACACAAATACAGTCGGCAAACACGTTGGCGAACTGTTGGCGACAAATAGAACTTGCCTCTATTCTCGCCAAACTTTTCACCAACTTTTTCGTTTCTAACGTGTGAACGATAGGCAAACATGTGTTGGTAACTGTCAACCAATCGAAACACGCGCTCTATTCACGTGATTTATTTCCTGGACACTTCACAAAATGGCGGACGTAATTCAAGATGACCATGAGGCCACTATTAAATTTATCGAAGAGGTTCACAATTGTCCGGCTGTGCAGGACGTTTCGTCTGAAGCCTACAAAGATACTTAAAACAAACAAAAGAAAATGGAGGAGCCAGCGGACAAATTGGGTTTCGTCCAAACCTTTCTATTTCTCCACCGCTTTTTGTTTCTTCTCTTCTCTTCTTCTGTTTCACTGTTCTACGTGAGTGCCACTGCACTAAGTTGGCCATGTTGCAAATTACCGTGTGTTGTGATTTGACGCGAGTTTGACGTGTGAAGGTACGAGTTTGCCAACTTTTTCAAGTTTGCCAACACGAGTTTCTCGACTTAAGTTTGCCGTGTGAAGGCCGCGTTAACGTTCCTCCTCGAGGGGAAGAGCGCGGGTTCCTTTCTTGAACAGCGGCTGATAATCTGGCCTACATGGTCAATGGTGCATGCATAAATAAAACTACCACTAGGTCTAAAGTAACATCATTTTAAAATTGAATACTGCTACTTAGCAGAATCTAGACGGTTAAATCAAGTTCTGCTGGGTTCATCGCCAGTGCCACTTTACAAGCGCTTCATCTCTTCCTCTAAGCCCATCTTCATACCAAGTGACAATGGCAGCTGAGACTTGATGTCTTCCCAAAGTTCCTTGAGGACTTCAGTCGTCTTGATCTCCTGTTGGCGCAAGGTTTCCAGCACAGCTTTCATCTTTCCCTGGTTAGTCCACTTGTACTTCTTTTGAAGACGACTGAAGAACTGCTCCACAGTCTCCGCGCCACTGGGAACTTCTGAACAGGCACAAAGAAAAGAAAACTTTGCATATTTGACACATGATTAGGAAGCTAAGCAATCACTGATGTCATCGTTTTTTTAATCCTCAAAACGTAATGGTTCATGTTTGTCCTGTACTGTTCTATTTTTCTGTGTTCAGTGCGACCACTACTCAAGCTTAACGTTCAATTCCAACTAGAAATACGAAACATTAACCGTCATGGTTTACGCTCCTTAAAAGAACAGACTCGGGGTGGGGGGCGGGGTTAGGATTTTCAACACTAAATGCCACTATTTTAGTCGTCAGGTATCTTTTAGAATAGTAATCGAAGAAAACAAAATAAAAAAAGCGCTGTCTGTCCGTTTTAAAATGGTGTTTTTTAGGGGTTAAATAAAGCTTGAACCACGCTCAAATTGGTCTCTTTTAGGCATTTAATCCAAACTTTCTGACGAGTGTCCCCGATCGTCTTACATGGGAGACCTAAGTACAACGCGCTCGTAAAAATGCATATTGTTCTACTCATTAAACTATTTTTTTTAAGCGACGGTTTGGTTTCTGCTGCCGTTTTGGTTTCTGCTGCCGTTTTGGTTTCGATTTCCTTAAACTCCCAATCAAGTTCCGAAAAAATGTTACCTCCAGCCGCGGCCTCCCTTTCCATCTGATTGTTCTCTCGCTGCTTGTGAATTCGTATAAAACTTTCAGCGGAGAGCAAAGCAGAATCCAGAATATCAAGAGCGGCTCGATCCACTTCAAACGACTGCTCAGAATCCACATGCAGATAATTTGCAACGAAGTAGGTTCTCTCGCTGGAGCTGCCAGTTGCCCAGGAGGCCTGTTCAAAAGCTTCCTCCTTTTCCTCTTTGTCTTTTAGTTTGTCAAGGTAAGTAACAACCGTCACAGGAGCATAACCTGTAGAGTAACGAAAAGATTATCAGTCACAGAGGCATCAGCTGAAAAATGAGGTACATGTTTTCAGTATCTGGACTGACTGATGACTGAAATCGAATGGCACGTCACACCCCTCTCCGTTACAAAATGTTTTAAGGAGTGCCAGAATCAAGCTTTTTCCGGTTTCCGTAGCATCAAGCGACTGGGAGTATTTCTATTCCCTCCTTTGATGGGATTCTAACCTCACGGTTAGTGCGCTTTGACTCCGGAGCGAGCGTCTGGGTTCTAGCCCTGGCTGGGGACATTGTGTTGTGTTCTTGGGCAAAACACTTTACTCTCACAGTGCCTTTCTTCACCCAGGTGTATTAATAAGTACCGGCGAATTTAATGCTGGGGTAACCCTACGATGGACTAGCATCCCATCCAGGGGGGAGTAGAAAGACTCCTGTTCGCTTCATGCTACTGAAACCGGGATAACCCCCGGCCTGATGGGCCAATTGGCTCGTATGCAGGCTTTACCTTTTTTTACAGACTTACCCCAGCTTGTACTCATTAATACACCTGGGCGGAGAGAGGCACTGTGAGAGAAACTGTCTTGCCTAAAAACACAGCACAATGACCCTGGCAAGACCTCGATCTGGGCCGCTCGATCCGGAGTCCAGCGCTCTAACTGCGCTCTAACCGCGCCTCATTAATCCTCCGCCGTAATTAACTGTCATCGAAGCTACAGTAGGTATAATTTTAATTTTAGCTATGAGAGGAATGAACTATTCTGGTGAATGTGGTCATTACCATCTTCTCGAAAGTGCTCTCTGATCTTCTGGAGTGTGTCCTTGTACTTGCCGTCTTTCAGACGCGGATCGTTTGCCTTCACAACAAAAATCACGGCGTGCGCGTACTTAGAGAGCGCTGGAGCTCGTTTTGCTGCGGCTTCGGACTCCTGACTTGCACCTTGCTGGTCATAAGTTCGCATGATCTCTTCTCCTGCACGAATTCTTAAATAGAAACAATAACAACGAAAATCACTTTGAGACTTGAAGCAAACCCTTGTATGCAATACAATAAGATTTACAATTAAGGCTCTCCAAGGGAATCTACATGCCTAATTTAAAAAAATATTGCCAGCAACACCCAACATGACGCAACACGTCGCAACAGGGTGGCCAAACGCGCGTAACATGTTACGGCCAACAATGGTGTGATATGCTGTTCCCAACTCACATTTAGGAAAAGAGTAATTACATTTTCAGCTTACAAACTTACAGTACATAAGTTGATAGAGGGACAGGAGCCGCGACATGCGATACTGATACCTAGTCATTCAAGCGGGATGTCGCTCAACTTTAGACCAACATAAATAACGCACTCGAAGTGTAATTTACCTTCCAGACATGATTTTGAGGCACTCTTCCAGGAGCCTTTCGTCGCTGTCAAAAAATCCCCTGGTATCCACCATACGAATGTTTTTCTGCACGTAGTATTCCTCGAGATGGATGGTGCCTTCTTTTCCTGTTCCCTGCTCAAAGGCGCTCTGAGGCTCTCCAATAGCTCGTTGCAACGTGCCTTGTAAAGTCAATCAAAAACGGGAATCATTTTACTGATATCAATTAAGGCAAAATGGTTTGCATACGAGCCAAGTGGCCTATCATAACGGCGTCTATCTCCGCTTTTAGTAGCATGAAGCGACAAGGACTACTTCTACTCCCGCCCGGATGGGATGCTAGTCCATCGCAGGATTACCCCCAGCATTAAATTCGCCGTTACCCATTTATATACCTGGGTGGAAAGCGACACTGTGAGAATAACGTGTTATGCCCAAGAACACAACCCAATGTCTCCAGCCAGGGATCGTACCCAGACCGCTCGATCCGGAGGTGAGCATTTCAACCATGAGGCCACTGCGCCTCCATGAACTAAAGAAAGTCTACCTGAATGCTGGGTGCATTAATTCTGTCACTCTGGCCAATCACATCAACTGACGCAATAAACCAATCATGGGGGAGGAAACAAAACCAAGCGCGGGAAAACGAGCGTGAACCTGCTCATGATTGGCTTTCGTTTTGCGGTCTGATTGGTTGAGAAATCAGCATGTTAGCCTTGATTTATTGGGGCACCTAAGCTAATAAAAGGGAAATAACGTTCCATAATAAATAACGTTCCATTTACCCTGGTCCTAGAAGTTTTTCTTGATTTTTCTTCTTTTCGCGAAGCGGCGAACGGCGAGTCGCGAAGCGCTTCGCGGCTCCTCGCAGCTCTGTCATGCGGAGAAAAATCAACAAAACCTCTGGGGCCAGGGTACGTTCCACTATGCCAAAACAAAAAATCCCGTCCTTTCACTAAACCGGTATTCGCACAAATTTTCCCGGAGTCGGCCAAAACTGACAGTCAAAGCGGTACCGTTAATGTATACTGCCGAGTCAAAACACGAAAAACATTACGGGGAAAACATACATGTTCTTCATCCCGGGATTGGTAATTATTTCCTCTGGCACCGTTCCCAAAAGGAAAGAATAAACCTGTACAGGGTGTTGTTTTAGAATCTACCAGGGCAACGAAGCATGTAAGCCTGTGATCCAACGAGAGCGCGAGAAATATGATTCACATAACATGCAAATTTTAAAAACATGTTCTTACCCACAAAACTGGTTTTCCCCGAGCCTGTTGGTCCGATTAAAGCAACGCGTAGCACGTCGATGTCATCAACTTTCAAATCTCGAAAAGATTCTTTCTTAATTCTTGGGCTGGTCTGGAAGTCGTAATTCATCAGCTCGCCTTTATGCTCGTAGAATCGTTCTTCCTCCCTTTGTTTTCTTTCTTTTTCCTCCCTCTCACGTCTTTGGCGATCCAATTGTTTTCTCTGTTCGTCGTCTTTAATTCTCGCGCGGTTTTGCGCGTCACGCAACGCCTCTTGACGATTTCTTTCTATTTCGTCACGTAATTCTCTCATTTTCCTTTCATTCTCTTCTCGGGCTCTCAGCCGACCTTGAGCGCGTGCCGTGGGATCTGTGTTATCCTTTGTTTCATAGGTCTTTAATTGAAAGGAAACAAACAAACAAATTCACAAACAAACAGATGAACAATATAATTAAATTAGCAAGCGGATCGTTTTTTAATCCTGCCTTAACATGTAATATGGCCAATGCGTCATAGATCACCACCTCACTGTATTACGCCGGTCGTTTGCTTTGGCGTGAACATAGCTCGATCAAGACGCGGTCAGATAGTTTATTATAACAAAACTAGCTACTCCGATTTATAAGACAAAAAAACAGAGTCGATATACCTTTCAATATTGTAGCTAGCTACTCAAACACTCTCGCCACGAACCCATCCCCCCCCCCCCACCCAACACCAATGAAAAAAATTCATATCTCACATAAAGTCATAATCAAAAGGCTTCTAAGCCAACTCAGGGTATTTGAAACGGACGTGTTTCATGTGTTATTCGTCCTTCGGAGTCGAAGATGACTATGACATCAGTTGTTAGATGACCGGGTGAGGAGCTCCAGCCCGGTACGATGTGTCCGGAGGTGGCTAATGAGGCCAATCCGGGCGTGGAACCTTCTCCCACAGATTGAGCACATGTGGGTGGGTGTGTGGTGCTGGATGGTTGCAGCTCTGGCCTTGCGCGTCTCTCGCTTCTTTTCTGCTGTGGCGGTTCCGCGTTCTTCAGCTGTCCGAGCTCCAATGGCAGTCAGGGGTGCGCCAGGTGGGGCGGTTTGAGACAAGGGCCTCCCATGAATTTGTCTCAATAGTTAAGTCCCTCAGAAACCTTCGGGCTGTCTTTGAGGCGCTTACGTTGCTCTCCGACAGAGCACTTACTTTGGCAGAGCTCACCATAGAACAGCTACTTTACGATGCGGTCTTCAGGCATCCGGGTAATGTGGCCTGCCCATCTGACTTGGGCATGTTTCATGTAGTACACATGACTAGGGCGGTCAAAAAGATTTTGAGGAGTTTGTATGTTACGTGGCACAGAATAAATTTTACAACAAACATTAATTCAAGAATAAAAATTAAGCTCATTCAGGTGGAAAACTTGAGCTCTTTTAATTATTATTGCTGATAAAGAAATGAGTTCCAACAAACTATTAATAATCAACTTAATCAGTTCTTTAAAAATAGAAGAACCGTAGCCAGGACAAAACATATTAAAAATTTATAAAAAACGTTCACTGGCTATATAAAGTTAATGTTTTATTTGTAAATTAATGTTTGTTGTAAAATTTATTCTGTGCCACGTAACATAAAGTTAATGTGATGTCTTACGCAAGAGGTTCCAAGATCGCTAAACACGCTTGGTCTTCAAATCACTCTATTGACTTTAAAAATTACCAAGTGATTGACAAGGGTTCTTCACGTATTCGCAAGACGTTAGAATAATGGCACACCGTTTCGATAGATCATGCAGATAACAATTCTAGGCCGCTCCCCAATCAGTACTCTATTCTTTTAAAAAAGAACAATTAGTTTATTAACACTTATATTTTTCCATTTTAATATATTCTTTTTATAGTTCCATCTATTTTTGTATATATTTTTAGTTGTTATCTTTTCCATTTTTTATCCATCGAAGGCTGTAGTCTGGCAGCCGAAAGCTCTGAAAGTTTTAACTTTATATAGCCAGTGAACGTTAATTAGTTCTATAAAAGAAGACGAAGGGAAGACGTCCGGCCTCGCGTTTAAAATTACCCTAGCGAGTCGAGGGCTATTCTGATAGCGATGTTTTTGTAATTCCTTCATAGCTCTCAGAAAATCCTTGAACAGAAGATCGAAATTACTCACAAGTGAGAAAGAAAAACCCGCCCGGCATCTAAAAGTATCCATGAATAAATGATATGGCCAGTAAAACAAGTCATGTGGTTAGCAAATTGAGCGATCTCCCATAGAAAAGAACTGCCATTTGAATCCGAAGTCGCTCGCTGTAAGCTCGCTGTGCGAATTATTTTACCCCGCAGTGGTCATAAATCAATCAGCGGCAAGGCAGCGGTTTATACCTAACTATAATGAATTTAAAGATGTTTTTCTTCATTAACAACAAATAAGTTGCACGTCGGCGAAGTGGTAAGGATCTGAAGTTTGAAGATTGAGGTGGGTGGTGGTGTGGGGGTTTAATCTTTTCTCCTTTGAGCTACTAACGAACAGTTTACGTTTGTATAGGTATTGGAAAACAAAAATGTTCTAGCCATAAAGTAACGTAATTATAAAAGAAAATGAGACGGTAGGGAGATGTGAAACAATTCGCGGAAGAAAAACACTTCTCGAGGGTGAATGTTTCTATTAAAAGCCGTTGTCAAAGCGGTCGATGGATCGAATTATGCACCCACCATTGTTGTATATCAAATAGTCTTTAATTTGGGAGCACTTATTCGACTCCAAACACGAAAGGTCAGTTCATCGCTTTGGCAGCCACTTTGTCCATAATGGTCAGGCAAATGACGCCCCTCTCGTTAAATACCCTGCTAAGTGGAATTACCACTAAATTAACAGACCTCGTGTTAATCGAAAATAATCCGACACTTGCAAAGACTGGTTATTAGAAACTGAAAGAGCGTGTCACAAAATAATACTGAATGCTAAGCTTTCCAAATTTCAGTGCATTAAAAACCTTTTCATCCATAAATGTACTCTTAAATTATTAAATATTCTGAACCCCCATAAGATTTAACACCTAAAACGTAATTGGAATCGATATTGGCAATTTGACTTATTTCGTCAGAGTCTTTCATGATCAATTTCTGGTGCCAATTTTCCGGAAACATTTTTATGATTTCGCGTGACGGGGACGCTACCAACGTCGCATCTGTGAGTGTGTATCGCGTGACTCTCATTTGCGTGTGCGTGACTCAAGCATAAGAGACTGAGCAGAATTTTGTAGAAAATCCGTATTTTTGTATTTGATAATAACAAAGAGCAAATAAATCATGGTTAAATTTTGCGAGCGCTTGTTCACAACAGTCGATAATACCGAGTTCAAAATAAATTTATTGTATCCGGAATTGATTGAAGAGAGGCTGTTAGTTCGGCAAGCAATTAAGTTCGACAAGCTCTGCCGTGCTACACGACTCTGGCACGGCAGCGATTCAAACGTCGTGCTTCTGTCGCGGAGAGTTAGGAGGAGAATTGTTACGAGGCTTCAGTAAACCCTGGATTTGATTCGACTCTGGCACGACGTCTGAATCAGAGTTGATTTCCTGCCGTGCAATAGTCGAACCAAATTGCAATTTAGTTCGGCACGGCAGAAGCACGACGTCTGAACTGGGCTCAGACGTCGTGCTTTTGCCGTGCCGAACTAAATTCAGGATTTAAGATCGACAAAAGCACGGCAGAGGCACGGCGTCTGAATCAAACTTTTGCATTAAGTTCGGCAAGCAATTAAGTTCGACAAGCTCTGCCGTGCTACACGACTCTGGCACGGCAGTGATTCAGACGTCGTGCTTTTGCCACGTTAAACAAAATTCATAAATTATATTAATATATTTTGGCGAGATTGCGTTCCCACGGGGAGTTAGGAGGAGAATTGCTACGAGGCATTACTAAATGCTGAATTTGGTTCGACTCTGGCACGACGTCTGAATCAGAATTGTTTCTTTACCGTGCTACAGTCGGACCAAATTGCAATTTAGTTCGGCACGGCAAACGCACGACGTCTGAACTGGCCTAAGTGTTTTAATTGCTAGTTCGAATGAAAGACCTCGTATTCGCCATGTATTCCAGAATTTGCCTGTTTGAACGCTGAATAATATTAAATTGACTTTTTGACTCTTGCATTTGACCAAGTAGATGAAATATGGACAACAGTTCCGGTTTTTTACCGGTATGATTAAAACAGTGAAACTATGAAACTTGATCTTGGTATGAATATTAGACTACACTTGTCGTCGATTCACTAAAATTGTCGATACCTGCTTAAATTTTGGTTGGTTTTCTTGTGGGGGCAGGTTTGACTTCATCCATACGCTTAAAATTAAAGGCAAGTTTCGTTTTCAAAGGAAGCGAACAGACGAGCACGCTTGCTATAATTCGACGAGTGATTATAAGCTGAAATGTACACAGTCATTCAGATGTAAGTGTACTTACGATTTCCCCGCCTCCCACCAAACTTGTGACCACACTTACAACCGGGTTTAAAACGGCGTCCAAAAGGAAGGCCATTATCTAGAACCAAACTGTACTGCTACAGAAAACTCTTCTAAAATGACTCCTTGATGCGGAATTAAAAGCGGAAGTGGGTTTTCCTCGAAATTTGATTCCCAGAAAAAGGGAGTGTGAACGTCATTTTTAATGATGTCAGCGGGGGGGCTCCCGGCGGGGATACATGCTCCCTTAATCCCTTCAAAAATAATTTCGCTTCTCCATTAACGAATTGCATTATTTTATAAAATTTTGCGCCAAAACGCCACTTAGTAGTTGAGATATCCGTAAGTAGAAGAAATATTCATTGCTCCCTCAAATTGATCCAAAAATATCCCTTGTTCCTTTGAAGTAAATGATTATGCACCTCGCTCCTCGAAACCCCTGGGAGGCCCTCATAAGCTACGTATGTATGTGTGGCGTCAGGAGCCCATGATCATGGGTTCTGGAACTAGCTTGCAGCTGAGGCTAATACGGGGAGTCTTTTCAAATGCAAATGACATAAACTCTCTTTTTTATGATATTTCCCCACATTAGCCTCCATTGCAAGCTAATTCCAGTCCAATACCGAGAATACGAAAATGGCCTATTTGAACCCACCTGGTTAGCTGAGTTCACGTAGAGAACTCGTGCATCAGCTAGAGTAGACTGAAATGGGGTCTCAATCGTTAGGTCAGGTCTGAAATGAATCGCACAATTTGGCCTGAAATAGCGTAAAGGATTCAAGAAACGTGCAGCACTCCCTCACCAAGCATTCCGGGAGAGTAACCCCCTTATATGCACTGAACTGAGCTCTAAAGACTTGCTGTCACCATTGATGTTCTGAAGGCGTTTGGTAATGTTTTGACGTTCCCGACAACCTCGTACCCAGAGTCCTCGTTCCCCTTGACCAGCGGTCGAGAAACGAGCGACCATGAAAAATTAACAAATTGACGTCAGGTTTTCATGCGTCTGTCCTGTTTTTGATCACGAATTTCGTCATAATATTGTCAAATTAGCTGTGGATTGACGAGGCGATAGCCGAGTGGATCCGTACAGTACTTTGATGTTTGATGACGAAATTCATTGTCAATAACAAGACAGACGCATGAAAAACTGGCATCAATTTGTGTTTTACGATGACAAATTTGTCCGCTCGTACTCGTTGACACATCGCATAAATTATAAATTCACTTGTCTGTCCGCGTGTTGACAAGGAAAATTAGCCAATGGGCGCGCGAGAATTTCTGCAGTTATCGTAAAAATCCGAGTCGATGTCCCAAAATATCGGACTTTCTGTTGAATTGCACATGCCTAGCTGACAAACACGTGGCTCAGTCGAGACACTGGTGTTTTACTTCCGCTCATTTCCATTATTTTAAAAACCAATCAAAATTGAGCCTGTAACATAACCATCGAGAGTCGCTCGTTTCGTCAAGCTTGAAGATTCGTAGAATTCCAAAGTAGTCAGGTAAAAGCCTTGCCTGTCACTCAGGCTTATATTAACTTTCTCAATTGTTCGTGATGTAACATACATGCCATTTTCTAGTTCTCATGATCAAGTCCAAATTGATTACTTCTAAACGATCTTAAGAGAAAATAGGAGGTGTGTAAACAGACTATTACTTTTTATTTAACAGCAAACTTGAATACATGTAATTACGATGATCAGGGCTTTAAAGGAGAAGGTCACTTCAAAAGGCTTACATTTTTGTCTTCGCCTATAGCAAGTAAACATTCAGCTTTTCCAGTCACCAAAGTTTCAGCCTCTGAAGCGTCCGTTATCCAGAAGAAATTCGTCTCGAAAGAAACGACTTCGGAGACCTCCATTTTGAAACTGTCTTGGCAGCCAGGCCGTGTTTATGTGACGTCATTCCGTCCGACTCGACATTGGCGGGAAGGAGAAAAACTTTGCATCCGTCACAAGGTCAGCAAAATGTATTTTTTCTAAACGATTATCCACTTCACTATCTTCAATGCTATCATTTGGGAGTTTGGAGCATGTTCGGCTCAAAATAACCCAGAATGGTAGTTAAAAGGGTTGTCGGAAGCCATTTGGACAAAATCTCTTGGACGGAACGACGTCACGAAAACGTGGCCTGGCTACTGAGCACTGTGCAAAATGGCGGTAACGATGTCGAATTTTGAGCTTCTTTGGAGACGAATTTCATAAGGAAAACCTGCACTTTAGAGGCTGAAACTTCGGTGAATAGCTACACTTAGTGCACGGTTTTTATTAGCGTTGACAAAATATATATGTTTTTTGGAGTGACCTACTCCTTTAAGTTCATTTTTACTCAGCAGGGAGGCGTTTCTACTCATCTAGATGGGCGCTAACATGGCGGCTCTAGAAACCTGGTCAAACACTTCTCCCAATAACGCGCAAATTAAAAACAGAACAGGCGTAAAACTTGACGAGGACGTTTATATATCAATCATGTATCATATCCCGGATTCTTGACTTTATTTATCGGTTCCGATTTTTATGTTTGGTGGGAAGACAGTGAAGGCCAGTAATACTTCTACTTAACAGAATCTAGAAGGTTAAATCAAGTTCTGTTGGGTTCATTGGTCAGTGCCATTTTACAAGCGCTTCATCTCTTCCTCCAGGCCTATCTTCATACCAAGCGACATTGGCAGCTCAGACTTAACGTCTTCCCACAGTTCCTTGAGTGCTTTAACCGTCTTGATCTCCTGTTGGCGCAAGGTTTCCAGCACAGCTTTCATCTTTCCCTGGTCAGTCCAGTTGTACTTCTTTTGAAGACGACCAAAGAACTGCTCCACAGTCTCTGCGCTACTGGAAACTCCTAGGGATAGGCAGGAAAATTAAATAATGGAGCACTGTTGATAAAGGCGCATACAAAAGCTTCTCGTTAACCCAAATATGCATTTTATATAATTATACAACCAATGAGAACCCTAGGGAACCTTAACATATTTCATGACAATTAGGAAGTTAAGCAATCACTGACGTCATCGCTCTTTATCCTCGATACGTAGTGGGTCATGTTTTTCCTGTACTGCTCTATTATTCTGTGTCCTTTGACCTTCATATCAGAACAACAATTAAGTCAGCTCGTTCACAGCTGAATATTTAGAAAATGCTCTGACGATGCTTTCTTTTAATAAGGTACGTTATAACATTAGGGAACCCACCGACAGGTAACGATTAAGGGGATACCGAGCTGAAAACGATGTGTAACGGAAAAGTGAACTGCATTGTTCCTTCCAAAGTCGGAGTTATCCAGAGCTGTTGAGTGCGACTAGATACTCAAGCTAAACGTTCTGTTCCAATTAGAGAAACAAGAAATCAACCGTCATGTTTCACGGTCCTCCAAATACGCAGAATTTGGTCATTTAACGTTGTCTTTGTTTTTGCCGAGGCTACGCCCAAGGCGGGGGAGGGGGGTGGGAAAAACAGGTGTTCCCCCGTTTTAAAGTGGTATTCATTAGGGGCCAAATAAAGCTCGTGCCACACCCAGATCGGCCTCTTTCAGGGATTTAATCCAAACTTTCTGACGAACATCCCCGACCTTCTTACATGGGAGATCCCCCTTTCCCACGGAGAACAGGTACGAAATGTACCAAGAAGTATAACGCGCGTTTTAAGATGCATATTGTTTGCTCATTAAATTGTTTGCGTTGAGACGTTTCTGTTTCTGTTGCCGTCGTGGTTTCACAGTTTACACATCTTCAAAAGTTTAGCCTAAATTTTTCAAGTTCGTTGTTTGTAATCCGTGTTAATCCTCTCCATCCTTAACCATCCTTGCTCCTTAAACCATTATCTCAAACTATTAATTTCTGGCTTCCTTCAATTTAAAGGTAATTTTGTGCGTGGCCAAAAAAATTCAAAATACCGTTACTGAGCTCCTTCAAGCATCTATTGGGTTACAAAAAATGTTACCTCCAGCCGTGGCCTCCCTTTCCATCTGATTTTTCTGTCGCTGCTTGCGGATTTGTATAAACCTTTCAGCGGAGAGCAAAGCAGAATCCAGAATATCAAGAGCGGCTCGATCCATCTCAAGGGACGGTTTGGAATCATTTATATAATTTGCAATGAAGTAGGTTCTCTCGCTTGAGCTGCCAGTCGCCCAGGAGGCCTGGTCAAAAGCTTCATCCTTGTCCTCTTTGTCTTTTAGTTTGTCAAGATAAGTAATAACCGTCACAGGAGCATAACCTGTTAAGTAAGCAAAAGATTATCAGTCACGGAGGTATCAGCTGTAAAATGAGGTACACATTTTCAGTAGCAGGACTGAATGATGACTGAAATCGAGTGACACACCCCACCCCATCACAAAATGTTCCAGGAAATGCCAGGATCAAGCTTATCCCGGTTTTCGTAGAATTAAGCGACTAGGAGTGTTTTTACTCCATCCTGGACGGGATGCTAGTGCATCACAAGGTTACCCCCCCCCCCCCCCCCCCCCCC